TTCCCAGCAGGGGGCGAGCCCTCTAAAATTATCTTTATTTTTGAGCTAAGGAAATCTTTTTTGATGAATTTATAACATCAGTTATTAGTTTTGACTCTTATGCAATGCAATATGATGTTTACTTTATAAAGTAAGGTCCCATCAGGAAAATAAGTCACAAATAAGCAGGCTATACTTTATAGTTATCGACAGGTTTGTGGTGTCCTTTTTCCCCGTCTACCCGTTTGTTGTGACATCTGGCTTTTTAAATAAAGTTGACCATTTTTGATATTTTAACAAGGCAAAAATATATCCCATATAATTTTAAATGTTAGCAAAAAGTTGACACATAAGCTGTAGTTTTACATTAATAATCCCAAATTATTATAAATTGCTATGGTTTTACCCCATTTTCTGTCAACAAGTTAACTAATTGTTTAGAACAAAATTGTGAATTGTTTTTCCTGAGCGGTCATTAAATATGAAATTTTGTAGACAGAAACTATATTTTCTGCTAATTTTAATTAATGTTTTCAATCTGTGTCTTGAACTGAACGCTATTAATCAATGCTATTATCATACTCACTTGAATTTGTTATGTTAGCATGTTTATGTTAACATCATTTTCTAACCTAGAAACATTTACGCTGAGCTTTGAGCTAAATGCTAATGCTTCTGCAAATGTTGCTAAAAAACAGAAAGGAGCTCTTAATGAACATCTCTTTAATGCTAGCTTATGTTACATAAAAAAAAAAATAGCATGTTATAATTTTAATATATGTAATATATTTTAATATAAACTAAAACTAAACTAACCAAAGCTTGTATGACCTGAGCTGCGTTAAGCTGCTTGCCTAGCCCCAAAGACACATAACCAAACAACAATCACTTACCTCCCTGACTAACAAAACATGAGAAAAATGTGCCCAACTGAAAAGGCGATCCACCCCTACCTCCTCCTGGATTCACAGAACAACACAAGGCATGTCACAGCCCCAGCCAGCTGGGGTAAACCGAGGATGGCCGGATTGCCGTCCTCAACCTTGCCGTCATATACTCCGCCTTCAGATATATTTATATCTATATCTATATATTTATATCTATATATATTTAGCTAAAACATTTGAGATAATAATTAGACATTTTAGCAATTGTTTACATCAATGAGTTACTGTACTTTGATGTGATCACTCTGTAAATTAAGTTTATTAGCCAAAAAGATTTGGAAAGCAAATAGTGTCCATTGTAAACACTGTACTTGGTGTAATTTAACATATTTGTAGTTGGATAAGGTTACACTTTTTTTTTCTCCTTTCAAATAATGTGTTTTAGATCATTTGGCTGAACAGTGTGTAACTTTGTAACCTTATATCTATCTGCCTATTTCAGAAGTACTGAGTTCGCAATAGAGCCATTCATTAGGTGTATGGAGTATATTCATAACTCATAGAAACATGGCCAAAGCTGTAAAAATAAGGCCCAACCTGAACGATCCTGAGAGCATCTGGGGTTCATATTGCAGCTTGTTTAAATTCAATGCTGTGTCGATGAACTTTCACCTTAACATGACTTGAAGTGGCGCTTTTTTTTTTTTTTAATGTATTGCTATGAAAGGAAACAGCAGATTTAAAACACCTTCTGAGGTTTGTGCTTTAGCAACAAATCAAAAGTGTCAGTGTTGTCCTCATTTTTATATGCCTGGGACCAGATTTCATAAAAAAAATAAGTGCATACACACACACACACGCATGCACAAACACAGTCTTTGAACATTTGAAACATGAGACTCGTCAGACGCATGCTTTGCTCCGGTCCTGTTCTGCATCCCCTTGCAGAGCAGAGCAACAATCGCATTTGATTCACACATACAGTCACACAGCGGCTTTGAAGTGCATTTGGCTGGATGGTAGGAAATGGAAAAGGAATGTGAGCTGTGGAGCAAATGCAGAGAAAAACATCCACCCGGAAAACCAACATGTTGAATTATCTAACAAGCTGCAGAGAAACACAGCAGGGATGCATCCAC